AATACACAAAGAACTCATATAACTCAATAACATAACAACAAAAAAACAAACAAGCCAATTCAAAAATAGGCATTTCTCTCAAAAAGACATACAAATGGCTAACAGACATATGAAAAGATGCTCAACTTCACTAGCTATTAGGGAAATGCAAATTAAAACCACAATGAGATACCACCTCACACCTGTTAGAATGGCTATCATCAACAGGACAAGCATAAACAAGTATTGGAGAGGTTGTGGAGAAAAAGGAACCCTCATACATTGCTTGTGGGAATGCAAATTGGTACAACCATTATGGAAAAGAGTGTGGAGTTTCCTCAAAAAACTAAGAATTGAATTACCATATGATCCAGCAATCCAAAAAAACTTGAAAACATTTTAGGTATTTACCCCAAAAAACTTGAAAACATTTATTTACAAAGATATATGCACCCCGATATTCATAGTAGCATTATTCACAGTGGCCAAGACATGAAAACAACTGAAGTATCCTTCAATAGATGATTGGATAAAGAAGATGTGCTACATATAAACAATGGAATACTACTCAGCCATAAGAAAAGATGAACTACTGCCATTTGTGACAACATGAATGGATCTTGAGATTATCATGTTAAGTGAAATAAATCAGACGGAAAAAGTTGAGAACATATAATTTTAAAAAAGAAAAATTCAGATTTCAGATTCCAGAGCCCCACCCAGACGCATTGAATCAAAATGTAGATAAGGTCCAGGAATCTGCATTTTAACAGGCTCCTGAGGTGATTCTTAAAGCATATCTAAGTTAAGAACACTTCATTAGGTTTTTTCCAAAGTTTGCTCCAGCTTTGATAGTCTTTGCTTCTAAAACATTAAATTTGGAGGATATGTCTTTGTATCTCTAACATCTTTTTCAGAGCCTGGAACTCATTATATTTTTGGTGAATGAATATATTTGAATTTGGACGACAGATTCAAGTCCCCGCTTAGGTATTTACCAGCTGCAATTCCTTAGGAAAATTACTTCTCCTCTTGACCTCTAGAGTTGTCATCTTTAAGAAGAAAATAATAATAAAAATTCCTATTCTGGATTCCAATAGTTGATGTGGAAGATAAATTAAATCCTGTTTTTGAAAGCTCTTGATTCCAAGTTGAAGATGATTTCAAGTCAAAGAATTACTACAAGTGTAAAGTGGACACCAACAGGGGTTACTTCAGTCTTTCAAAATCACAGATGGCTCAGCTTTCTTACTCTTGAGTGGACAAAACAGGAAGTTTATTTAAACACAAAACAAACAATCACCACGGTTGAAAATTACATTTCATTCAAAGTAGGTAGGGTCTTTTCAAGAAAAAAACATGATTTTTTAGGAGAAATCTGAAGCATTCCCTTAGTGCCCCCTGGTGGACCTCAGAAGCCAACTGAAATCTACCATTGTTGTCACATATTTGCTATTGGTTTAGCAGAGAGATTAATTTATCAATGTATATATATATATTCTCCACCTAGATTAAGAGTTTTTTGTGGAGGTTCTCTTTGTCCCCACGTTTTAGAATTCATTCTTTCACATATTGATTCAACCATGACTGAGCATCCATGGTGCCAGCTGCTGTGTTTGGCACTCAGGGATATAGCAAGAGGACCAGATGGTGACCCTGCCCCCAGAGCCCTTATAGTCAAGTACTGGAGACAGACAAGTAAACAGCCAATAACAATAGGGTTGTATGCCATGGAGGAGGAGGTGCGTGGAGCTGTGAAATGCTTTCTTCGGCCAAAACTCAAAACTCAGTTTTGAGAAAATCATGGCACATTGAGGGATGGATGGCAAAAAACAAGGCATGAAATGTAAACTGGAGCCAAATGAAGTTCGAATTTTATCCTAAGGTCAGGGGAAGCAACTGAACAGTTTTAAGCAGAGGAATAATGTGTTCTTTAAAGATCATTCTGATACAGTGGGTAGAACAGAGTTGAGATGGCAAGACCAGAGGTAGAAAGGCCTGTTAGGAAGCCACTGCATAGTCCAGGTGAGAAATAAATGTTTGGTTAGGAGGGGCACACAGGGAGTTTAAAATATATTGGTAAAACTTCTATTTCTTTCTCTGGGTGGTAGGTATAAAAGCGTTTTATTCTTTACATCTTACACTACATTACACAAATTCTGCCCTTGTTCCCTGCCCAAATCTCACTTACCTTTCCCCTACTTCAGCTTTCCTTATTTAGCCTGTCAGGTTATTTTCCCTTTAGCTTATGACTTTGCTGCAGCCGATGTCTGGCTGTAAGCCTTCTATCAACTCTCTAGTACTTCTATTTCCCAGTCTTCACTCGTATATTGCCTTTGCTTTGAACTAAATTTATTCATATACCATGTGCGCCCCCTCCCCTTTGCTTATTCAGTCTACTTGCCTTCAAAAAAACAGCTCAAATTCCAATTTAGTTCACTTCGGCTGAATCTTTTTTTTTTTTTTCTGAGAACTTATTATCTGCTTGGCTTGCTTTTGGACGCTGGGGGTACTGCATTGAGTCAGCCAATTTCAGCCTTTGGGAGCTCACAATTGACTGGGAGAGTCCAGCACACAAACAGATCATACCCTCATGGTGGGAGAAGTACTATCACAGAGGTTGGCAAAGAGAGGTATGGCAGTAGAGCTGCGGGGTGGTGGCTGCCCTGCTCGGTTGGTGGAGTGGGGGTAGGGAGACAGGTAGGAAAGACTTTTGGAAGGGGCGATGCTTGAGTTGAGGGTTAAAGGAGCAGTTGTTCTTGAAGTGGTGTCAAGGAAAAAGCTGCAGGAAGAGCCTCCTCCCTGCCATGTCTGTTGTGCTGCCCACAAGTCATGTAAGAATCCCACCTTTTTCCACTCTGGGCTGGTACCCCTTTTTCTAGGGCATTATATGAATTCTGAATCCAGCTCTTTGAAAACTATCCACAGGGTGATCAGGAAGGTGAGAGGGACCTAAAACTGGTCACACAAGAAACAGCCACTGAATTATGCATATTTAGACTGAGGGAAAATATTTTGAGTGAAAAGGAAATGGACTTTTGTGTAACACTGAGTTTCCAAGTGCAGCCAAAGGGTAGGAGCTGCCGGAAGCTAATTTCAGCTGAACACAGGAAAGAGCTCTCAACTGGCCTTTCTTTTAAAGAGAGCAACTTGTCTTGGCAGGTTGTCACTGAAGATTAT